ACCTTGGCCTCCCAAAGTGCTGGGTTCACAGGGTTGAGCCTGTGAAAACTGCACCTGGCCTGTTTTTTTTAAACAAAAAGTATAACTAAAAGAGAAATATGCTGCAATATGCTAAATTCTTCAGTGCCATGAGGCCAAGGGGAGAGACATCCTACCCAACTGGTGGTAGCATATAATAATTTTAAACAGAATACCTGTAGAGAAAAAGGTTCTGAAAACTCAAATAAATAATGTTATAAAATTCTGGCTTAGACACACAGCTGCTACTCATATACTCGCCTCCATCTGGAATGACTTTCTTTTCTAAATAAATTCCCCTTGAGGGAGGCATACAGAATGACAAGGAAAAAACAGGCACCTGGGTAGCCTGCCAAACAAGCTGATCCTACCCAGGAACTGAAGGGGGTTGGATGTGTCAACAGGAACACACAAATCCACAGCCCAGTCCAACAAGCACAGTTGTCTAGTGGAAAGAACAGTGGCCTACAATTAGGTGCATGTGTTCCAATTCCAGCTCACATGACCATATGACTTTTTCTTTCTCTTTTCACCCATCTATTAAACAATTTTTTTTTTTTTTTGAGTTGGAGTCTCACTCTGTCGCCCAGACTGGAGTGCAGTAGCCGCTCCCGGCCACTGCAGCCTCGACCTGCTGGGCTCCGGCAATCCTTCCGCCTCGGCCTTCCGAGTAGCTGGAACTACAGGCGCGCGCTACCACACCCGGCTAATTTTTTATTTTCAAAAGTTTTTGCTGGGTGCAGTGACTCACACCTGTAATCCCAGCACTTTGGGAGGCCGAGGTGAGAGGAATGACCGAGCCCACGGGTTTGAGACCAGCCTGGGCAACATGGTGAGACCTTGTCTCTACAATAAATCAAAATTAGCTGGGTATGGTGGCGCATGCCTACAGTTCCAGCTACTTGTAAGGCTGAAGTGGAAGGTCACCTAAACCCAGCAGGTCGAGGCTGCGGTGGCTGTGAGCGTGCCATGGCACTCCAGCCTGGGAAACAGAGTAAGACTCGGACTCAAAAAAAAGAAAATAATAAAGTTCTTTATTTCTATTAAACAAAGAAACCATAAGTGCATGTAAGTATATGTGAGTATGTGTATGTATAGTGTGTATACACACACACACACACACACACACACATATAGACATGCACACAAACATAAGTTTATATGTGTTTATAATAAAAGTATGTATTCCATATAATGCTTTAAGTTAAAACATTAAAAATTAGGTTAAGAGATTTTACATACTGAAAACTAATACTCTCTTAAACTCAGATGAAACTTACACTTGATTCCTCAAAAATTTTACTATGGTGAAATTATGAATGCAAAGTTTTTTTATTTTTTGAGTCAAGGTCTCACTCCGTCGCCCAGGCTGGAGTTCAGTGGCATGCTTACGGTCATCCCAGCATCGACCTGCTGGGCTCTGGCGATCCTTCCGCCTCAGGCTTCCAAGTAGCTGGAACCACAGGTGCAAGCCACCACGACCAGCTGATTTTTAAATTTATTTTAGAGATGGGGTCTCACCAAGTTGCCTAGGCTGGTCTCGAATCCGTGGGCTCAGGCAATCCTCTCGCCTCGGCCTCCCAAAGTGCTGGGATTACAAGCTTGAGCCACCATGCTTGGCTTTTTTTTTTTTAGAGTTGGAATCTCACTCTGTTACCCAGGCTGAAGCGCAATGGCATGTTCACGGCCACTGAAGCCTCGACCTGCTGGGCTCAGGCGATTCTTCTGCCTCAGTCTTCTAAGTAGCTGGAGCCACAGGTGTGCGCCACCACGCCCGGCTAATTTTTTGGTATTTTATTGTAGAGATGAGGTCTCACCAAGTTGTCCAGGCTGGTCTCGAACCCCGGGCTCTGGCAATCCACTTCCTTCGGCCTCCCAAAGTGCTGGGATTACAGTTATGAGCCACCACACCCAGTTCAGAATGCTAAATTTTTGAAAGGTATTTAAAAGTTTATGCTGTCAGGTGTGGGGCTCATGCCAGCACTGTGGGAGGCCAAAGCAGGAGGATAACTTGAGGTCAGGAGTTCAAGACCAGCCTGGGCAACACAGTAAGAAAAAATAAAAAATTAGCCAAGCATAGTGTTGCTTGCCTGTAATCCTAGCTACACAGGAGGCTGAGGTAGAGGACTCCCTTGAACCCAGGAGAAGTTCAGGGTTACAGTGAGCTACGATCATGTCACTGTATTCTAGCCTGGGTGACAGAATGAGATCCTGTTTCAAAAATATAACAAAATAAAAAATAAAAGTTAATATTGATTTAAATCATACATGAAAAACAGAGTCTATACAATTTCTCCTAATATGGTACTATGACCGCCTTTGAATTAATGTATGTACTGAGGCTGGGTGGAGAAAATCAGATTGTTCTCCATACACCACAAATGGTATAAAATCTTCTATTATGCTGGGCTTGGTGGCTCAGTCTGTAATCCCGTGCCTTTGGGAGGCTGAGGTGAGTGGATTGCCTGAGCTCGCGGGTTCGAGACCTGCCTGGGCACCGAGACCTCATCTCTACAATAAATCAAAAAATCAGCCGGGTGTGGTAGCACATGCCTGTAATGTCGGCTACTTGGAAGGCTGAGGTAGAAGGATCGCTAGAGCACAGCAGGTCGAGGCTGCGGTGGCCAGGAGCGGCCACTGCACTCCAGTCTGGGTGACAGAGTGAGACTCCAACTCAAACAAACAAACAAAAACTCCTATTACGATAATTCGCCAACCTACAATCTTTATTCTTTATCAAACTTACACAACAATTGCTATTGCATTCATAAAGCTTTCTACACTTTTATTTCACTGCCAACATTCTAAAATGTGTCTTCTCATAAGACATAACATCTTCATGATTAGCAGCCTGTTTTCCTCCTTAATTTATCTCAAAATTGCTAAGCAACCCTTGCTTCTTGAAATTTACCTTTGGCATCTATGACCTGAAACTAACCAGATCTAAATGATTTCTTCCTCTGCTCTTTTCCTAACTCTTCGTCCTGCTTGGTCCTTTGTTTTTTTGTTTTTGCACTATGCAACCCCCTTCAGTGCTCACAGCCCATGGGTTAAGGAGGCTGGGCCATGGTTCGAGGCTGTAGTTTACTCTGGCATGGGTACACTATGAGAGGCCCACAGAGAAGAGCCTGCCATAAATCCATTACCATGCTCGGTCCTTTGTTTTTAAACTCACTTTTCAACCTATGCCAAGGACTTCTAAATCTCAGGCATAATACCCATCACTCTATACATTTAAATGCCTATCATCTACCTACAACCTCCAAATGAGTTCCTTCAGTTTTGAAATTTGATCATTTCCAATTCGCTGTATCTAACACTTTGTTAGTCATATTACCTTATTCAGCTTCCTGTCTAAAAATCAATCACACCACTGCCACTATGATAAAAACTGAAAGCTTAGACACCATTTTTGTCTTATTTCCCATGTCTAGAGAATAAGTAACTCTTGGGATTTTTTTCCTGCTTTTAAAATGTCCCTTATTTTTGCCCTTCATTGAATTTTTCTTTTTCATGGTTCACTTAAAATATTTATAAATTTATAATAATATCCTAGGTGGGCTAGAATATTTCTGTTGGACTTATAGTACAGTATATTCTTCTGCTATAGCAAAATGTACACAAATAGGCAAACTTGTCAAGTAAATGAGCATGAAATCAAAGCATATGGAACTGGCTATCTTATCTAAATATTAACTAACTATTGAACAATTGATTCAGATGAGGTCTCGCACTGTTACACAAGCTGAAGTGTAGTGGTGCAAAGATATCTCACCACAGCCTAGAATTCCTGACTTCAAGCAATCTTCCTGCCTCAATCTTCTAAAGCTGGGACTACAGGTGCAAGCCACTGCGTCTGACCTAAACTTACATTTAGCAAATTTGAAATGAGACTGCCAGATGCATCTGTCACCACCATGGGAACATCATGCACAATGGAAAGTTTCACAGCTCAAGATATCTTCTCTCTTTCAATCATGTCAGAGGCAGAATGATACCCTGCCCATTCTTGGGTTTATCGTTCCAGAGTGTCCTTCCATGGCTAACACATTGTGTCCATATACAGCTAGAATATAACTAATTAAGCACAGCTTACTTAGCCTCCAAAATGACCTCTTCTGCATGACCTGCTCCACTAAGCAAGCCTTCATACAAATGTCTTAAGTCTTCCATGATCACTCTGAGCCACTTAATAGGGATATGAAAAGCACGGGCAAGAACATGATACCAGGTGTAAAAACCAGAAACTGAATGTGGGAATGTGGGAACGCACTGTTAAGTCGCACGTGTGAAAGGAGGGGCGACCGTCAGTCAAGCTGTACAGTCTCTCAGATAATTGGAGTCAAAAAATAAGATTCTCCTCAAACCAGCAGTCCCAGTTTGTCTGGAAAGAAAATAATTTTTAGACTAAACTGGCCAACATAACAAAAGAAAATAGCCTAACAATGCCACATGACCATTTAATTACATTTTTCATACTAAACAAATTTTGAAATTTCAAAGTTTATGCTGATGATAAAATTATATGTAACTGGAGCTGGGCGCGGTGGCTCATATCTGAAATCCCATCACTTTGGGAGGCCAAGGCGGGAGGATTGTCTGAGCCCAAGAATTTGAGACCAGGCTGGGCAACATTATGAGACCTCATCTCTACAAATAATCAAAACATTAGCCAGGCATGGTGGTATGCACCTGTAGTCCCAGCGACTGGGGAGGCTGAGGCAGGGGCACCACCTGAGGCCGGGAGGTGACAGTGAGTCATGATTGTGCCTCAAAATAAAATTTTTAAAAATGGCCCCCAAAATGACAGATAACAAATCAAATATTTGAGCATATAAGCTATTCATATTCATAGAGAAAATAAATAGCAAGGTATGCATTTTAAGCAGTCAATTGTTTTATGCATGTGCCGGGATTGAGTCTGACTTACAATACTCAAATGTTAAATAAATTACAAAATACATGTTAGTTCATATGCAAACCTTGAAGATCTTCTGTTTCAGGTATTGCTTTGTCCACAGATGTACTGTCCAATTGGGAAGATGCTACAGATTCTGATAAAAGTGACTGATTTGATACAGGGCTAGAAAAGCAAAATATTTCATTTTAATAGATGATTTCCCCACATGAATATTAACTAAAATGACATAAGAGCTCAACATTTCTACGTAGATCATTAAGATAACAACAGAGACACTTTTTCCTTATAACTAAAACATAATCATTTTATGTTTATGTGTAATCTTTGAAACTAGAGACCGATTTGTACCAGAACTTTATTGCCTTAGAAACATGGCAATGCCATATATGTCTTTTGTGTATTTCAAGTACTACATGAATTCACAAAACGAAAACTAGCATGATAAAGACACACTTAAGGAAGCCTAATGCAAAGCTGCAAATGGTATTCTGGCACAGCAAAACTGAACATCTCCTATCATAAACTGGAAGAAAGGAACCACAGTGTAGAAACTTAATATATTGTTCTTAACAGCAGAATAAAAATGAAACATATATTTCTGTATGAAGATTTCTAAATAATGTGAATTCAGAGACAAAAAGAAAAATATATTACAATACAAATATGAGCACTACATCGTGATATTAAACAGAGAACCTCTGACAAGACTTTATTTTTTAAAATATAAGGTAGTAACATTTAAAGAACTAACTTAATATGCTTCAAAAAAACTTCAGGGGTGGGTCAGGATATATTATGAGAAAGAATTTTAAAAAGATGTCTGAAAAGTAAACCTAAGACTTATACTCCCTAGTGTAAAAACAAGCGTTTTCTAACCAGTAATAAGCAGACAAATATCATTTTAGGCCAGTTAATTCTAAAGTGGCTTTACATAGTTTTCCTTAACAGAACTGATCAATAGAATAAAATCTTTATTAGCATTCCAATTACAATTCAGAGACTATGTCTTACCTTGGCTGCATAGATGAAGATGTAGAGTCTAATGTTGACTGAGCTTCTGGGACACTGCCATCTGTGCACTGAACTGGTAATGATTCAGACAGACTACTGACAGAAGCTGCTGTAACAGGACCACATATTATATTAGTGATTCTACACTCCAGGCAGTCTAAAAAAAAAATCAAGATCAATTTTCCACAAAATACAGTATATAGATTCTGTTTTACTATATAATACGTCAATTCATTATTTTCAGCTTTAGTTTTCTCAACAGTTGGTCAATGAAAAATGTTACTTTTAATCAAGAAGAGAACCATATACAAATTGTATAAACTAATAAACCAAACTCCTATTTCTCAGGACTGAATATCATCCAAACCCAAATCCTTTAATTCAAAAAGATCTTCTAAGTACTAGTATATAAATGAGATATTTAAAATAAGATAATTTAGCAGTGAGGCAAGACATAGGTTCAGAATTAAAATCTGTGCTCAGTACATTAGGTTATAAACATGGATGATTTAATTTTTAAAACCACAATTTATATTCATTTAATCTTAGCCTTAAGAAAATTTGGGTAAGTTTTGGTCAAATGCTTATAGTTTTTGACTTGAATATGAAACTGAAAAGAAAGACCTCATACAAAATTTTAAATGAACTAATAGTCTGAGCTTTCATTAATCATAAAAATCTATGCATTTAGGCATTAGCTTACATGAGAACTGTTCTAAATGAATACTTTTAACACTTTCCTTTTGTAAAGCTTAAACTCAGAATTCTCATGATCTTTCTTAACACAACTACTGAAACAAAAGACCACCTCAATTCCAGGAAAATCCTTTGACACACACAAAAAATAAAAAAAAAAACCCATGAACTAGGCTTGAACATCCCTTACATTCATTACACCCCTCTTTCCTAATGGAGTAAAACTTTCTTTATAGTCAGCTGTGTTCATCAATAATCTACTCTTTCCTTCAACAACTGCCTTCACTGCAAGTCACCCCAGATAAAGAAACCAAGTGAAGTAAAGCCCTCACTCCCTTATCTAACTTTCCAAGATAGCTATATCCACTTTAAGTGTTCCTCTATTTTAATAAGAAAATCAAGTTCTACAGCCACAGCAATAAGACTATGGTTTCCTCAGTAAGTGACAATACTCTTATTTCTGTCCTCACCACTGACCCTAATCAAACTGTTTGCAAGAGAAATTTGAAGAGAGATTTGCAAGTACAGTGTGAGCACAAAAAAGGTACTGGGTACACTGGACTAACTAAGTGTATTTCAATCATGAGTACTGCTGTGTTTTACAGAAATACTTACCAGGTGGGCTTATTCTACCACTACTACTATTCTGTCTTTGAAGATGTTCTTTATAGCACACTGAACACATGCCATTTGTACGAGGGTTTCCATAAAATCCGCAGCCAGTGGAACAAAGCATAGGCACTTGGCTGTGATTAGTTTCTTGAGCCATGTTCCTCTGTTGCACACCTGAAATTTATATAGAATTAGCAAGGAACTCAGACATAAAACCTCAATCATATACTATCCAAATCTCCTTTAAATAATAAAGGAAATAAAACGCATATACATCTCCACCAAACCATTTCTATATAAATGTCCCAAGACCAGGGCTAAAGATAAGAGAGAAAAAAGACCAAAGGCTGAACTCTTACCTCTCAACCCACTCTACACAGGTAGGTCTGTACAGACACAGAAAGTATAAAGAACTCCTAGAGAAAGGTATCTGCTTTGAACATGCTGAACCACCAGAAGGTTAAGGAAAGTCCTTAAAGTCTAGCTCAGTTTGGACTCTCCTAGTAGTAAGAAATACACACTGTATGTTTTGCTATGTGGGAGACTTGGGCAGGATAATCACTTGAGCCCAGGAGTTCGAAACCAGCCTGGGTAACAGTGCAATCTCATCTCCCCAAAAAAAAAAAAAAAATTAGCATGGCGTGGTGACGCATGCCATATAGTTTCAGATACTCAGAGGCAGAAGTGGGAAGACTGCTTGAGCCCAGGAGGTTGAGGCTGCAGTAAGCTGGGATTGTGCCACTGCACTCTAGGCTGGGGGACAGAATCACACTGGCTCAAAAACAAAAATGTTTTGCTCCATGTTATACTAGTTATTTCCTAAGCATTTAGAAACTTTTGAAGTTCATGTGTTAACCTGTGTGATTTATTCTGTTTAAAAATCATTTAACACAGTATCACTTCTGGTGAAGATATGGCAGAAGGCTGGTAAAATGAGAAATTAGTTCAATCTTTTTGGAAAGCAATTTAGCAATTCACTTCAAGAGTCTTGTAAGACAAGTACTGCTATCTGAACTAGTCATTCTCCTTTAAGGGTCTTCAACAGACTAACTAGAGTATAGTCAGAAAAAGAAGAATAAAATACAAGGGATGCGCTTCACAACATATTTACAATGCTTATAAGTTGAAAACAACCTAAAAGTCCAACATTAGGAGAATGGATATCTTTAAAAGTACAATACATATTAATGACAAAAGTTGTCCAGTCATTAAAAATATTTTAGAATACGCTTTGATGAAGGTGCTGATAATTAATGAAAAGGCACAATATGAAATGTATACACAGTATGTTGCCAATTAGAAAAAAAGGAGCATCTATTAATCATCAAAAAGGTCAGTAAAGAATGTATCCAAAGATGGAAAGCTAGTGGTGATTCTTCCTCCCAGTTTGTACCTTTTCTGTACTTTCGATTCTACTTACCTAATTGGAGGATATTTTTATTTAGGTATTTAAGATGAAAAAAAATTAAAAATGAATAGGACAGAGGCATCAGCCAGTCAGGCAAGTGATGCTGGGACTGAGGAACTGTATGGGAACCACATGAAAGCAATACTCAATTACAGCAGATGGAAGAACCCCATGTGCCATTTCTCCCATAAAGCAACTGGTTCTTTGGCACAAGTAACCTGACAGAAGGTACTAACAGGCTCTCTTTCTTATGAAAAAACAACAGCCTCCTAAATGAAGGTTACTCCAAAACGGGCGTGTGTATATAACAGAGGAGTCTGTGTTCAAAGATAATGAAGAATGAGACTAACCAAAGAGGAAAATGTTTTCCCAAGGAAAGCATCCTCGGCTTACAGTTACCAGATCTCTTTTCACCTAAATTATTTGAAGACTGTTGAGAGGTTGGAGGGGTAGAGAGGATTTAATGCAAATGTCAGAACCAAGCAGAATAATGCACTTGACTGAATTATAAAACAAAGCAGCAGGCTTAGGATTTGCCTTTAAAAAGAAATGTCCTAAAACTGTGGAGGATATTTAGACCTTTAGCCTAGGAATGCAATTTGAGGTTTGGCAAGCATCCATCTTATTCTGTGATGGCAAGTCATATGAGAATCCAAGTTTTGCCACCTGCTTTATATTATATATATGCTACTTCAGATCCCTCCCTCTTCTGCAGTCTTGTAAATATTCATATCAAATTGGAAAAAAACAATATGGTATAGAAAAGTGAATGTGAAATATTTTTTATTTTTTGGCCTAAGTATGTGAGGACTACTGGCCCGTATGGCCCATAGCTTTTTTTTTTTTTTTTTTTAAAATAATGACTGTCTGGCTTTGATATTAGTTCAAGGTCATATAGTTAATTAATAAGCGATGGAGCTGGGATTCAGTTCAGATAGTCTGGCTCCACCAAAGTTCACGTTCTCATCAGTGATTCTCAAAGTATGATCCACAGACCCCTATGGAGGTCAAAACTGTTTCCAGAAAAGCACTAAGTAATTTGTTTTTTTCACTGTATGGACATGAGCACTAGTGATGCAAGAGCAGTCTTGGAAAAAACAGCTGAGGCCTTATTAAAGAGCTGAATCAAGGCAGTGGTACCAAACTGCACTAGTAGTTATTCTTAATCACCATGATCTCACAGTAAAAACTGTTACTTTAGCCAGGTGCAGTGGCTCACGCCTGTCACACACCCAGCACTTTGGGACATGGAGGCAAGAGGATTGCCTGAGCCCAGGGGATCGAGACCAGCCTGGACAACTTGGCTAGACCTCGTCTCTACAATAAATCAAAAACTTAGCTGGGTGTGGTGGTGTGGGCCTGTGGTTCCAGCTACTGGAAGGCTGAGGGGGAACCTGAGCCTAGTAGGTTGAGGCTGTGGTGGCCACGAGTGTGCCACTGCCCTCCAGCCTGGGTGACAGAAACAGACTCCAACTCAAAACAAAAAAAAAACAACCTGTTGCTTTTATTAAAATTTGACCCTGAGCACACATCTTTTCCATATTTTGCATGACAAGCTGGGAGGCATGCATGAAACAGTACTGTTGCATACAGCAGTATGAACAATGTGACCGATGACAGAAAAAGCACTTGTGCAACTGTTTGAGTTGTGCAGAATTACCTTTTTCATGGAATATACTTTTTATTTTAAAGAATAACTGATAAACGGGTTATTCAGACTTTAGTATACGACATTTTCTTGAAAATGAACAAAGTACACCTGTCACTTCAAAAAACGAACAGTGTTCATTATCAAAGACAACGTTCAAGTGGAAAAAAACACGGGTAACAAGAATCTCCAATATTCTGAGTTGCTGATAAGATCAGTGGCAATATTAAAACAATGTGATTAGTTGACACTAATCAACATTTGAAAAATCTCCATAAGACAGTGAATCAATATATTCCAAGTAATCAATGTATGATGGTAAAAAATTATTCATGAATAAAAGATTCATTCAAAGTGAAAGATAGCCCAATGATTTTTAATGTCACAGGACAAGAAGTTTTTATATGGTTTTAGATTCCACATTGCAACTATCCTTTATGAACCTACTATTTGCTAACTACCAGAATCTTGCTATAAAGCCAGATTGCAAAAATGCCACTCTTCTCACTAAAAGAGTATAGAGGATTGGCAAGTTATTTTTCATAAAATACTTCAAAATTGTTATTTAAATTTTTTCTCAACTTTAATTTATAATATGATATTGCTAAGTATAACCCTCATAAAGTTCTTCAGAGTATTTAGTATCTTTAGAGATTGTAAAGGTCCTTGAAATCTAAACTTTTGAGAATCCATGGTTATAAAATGTGCATTTTCAACACAGGGAGTAGCACTTCAAGGGGGCAAACACTGAATCTTTGGGTAAAGGGCCACACAAAAAAATTCTTATTCTTTATGTATGAAACACAGATATACATATAACATGTAAACAGATATACATTATTTCTGTGGAGTTAAAATTTCATGAAGGTAGAGGCCAATTAGAAAGAAAAAGTCTATCCCAGCACTTTGGGAGGTCAGGTGGGAGGATTGTTTGAGGCCAAGAGTTTGAGACCAGTCGAGAAAACAGAGACACTGTCTCTCCACACACACACACACACACACACACACACACACACACACACACACACACAAAGCTGGGTGAGGTGGTGGGTACCTATATTCCCAGATTCCTGGGAAAATGAGGTGGGAGCTGCTTGAGCCCAAGAGTTCAAGGTTACAGTGACCTATGATCACACCACTGCGCATCCACGAGCCTGGGAGACAGAGAGAAACCCTATATCTAAAAAAGAAAAGACACACACACAAAAAGTCTAAAAGGGAGTGGTAATAAAGATAGAGGAACTCGGTTCTAAACCATCAACTATGCCATTCTGCCTATTAATAACATTAAAATGATATAAGAAAGGAATTAAAGGGACTTTCCTCACTGACATTGAAAGATCTTTCTGTATAAAGTAACAAATGGTCAGAAGAGATATTCTCTTTCTGTAAAAACTCAAGTAAACCGTCATAGATAGAGAGAGAACAATATGACCACTAAGCTTTCATATCACAATACTTTAGAACAAAGATTAACATTCAAAAACACGTAACACTAGCAATTTTCCAAGCCAAACTACCTGCAGCAAATTATCTTTATAACTCGAGAGGCACAAAGGATTTCCCAGGCTAACCTTTTTATAAAAAAAAGAAAAAGAAAAAAAAAAAAAATCAACCTCATGTATTCATCTTTAGGTCACAAAATGTACCTTTACATGAAGATAAAGAAAGACCAAAAAAGATTTATCTGAATGTGTAGTGGCATGGATGAGGGGGATATGGAAAAACTGGAAGTCCAACCTCACTCCCCTTATAGGACATATTTTTGGTAGGTAAACAATTTGCAAGGCACATCAGGCTAGCATTCAAATACTCAGGGAGAAAAAAGGATAAAGGAAGAAAATGAGAAGGCAGAACAAACAATTCCTTAATTGTTGCATTGTGGAATTATAAAGACACAAATCCAAGGAGACAGAGTAAGATTACAAGACATAAAAAAAAAAAAAATGATTAGCATAGTAAAACAAAAGTATATGGATTGGAGACAACTCATAAAATGTGAGTCTGACTCTTCATAACATTCATAATCAAAACCATAACCCATTACTCTCTCTAACTCCCTAGACAATACTTAACAGTTATTCAGAGTTTACTATGTGCCAGGAACTGTTTTCATTG